TCAGGTCGAATTTAGGGAGTTTTGTGGATCATTATGAAGAAGATCTAACCCAGGGCTTCAAAGTATTATGTTGGGATCTTCATGAGGTAAGACTTTTGAGAGTATTACAATAGTTATGGTTTTGATAATGGATCTGATTTTGGGTACTCTCGGAGTATTTTAGGTTTGTTTCTGCCTAGATAAAGTTCTAGTAAAGGATAATTGTGGATCTAAAGAATTCACTAAAGGAAGCTCAAGTTTAGGGTAAAACCAAGATTTATCCCAAATCTGGCAAGGTGAGTTCAAGTTGTTTTACGAGAACTATATGCATGCCAAAATGTGTATTTTGAAGTATTAATGTGTTTTACTTGATATTTATCAAATGCGTTGAGTATTTGACGAAGTTTGCATATTTGATAAATTTGGGTTAACAAATCTTGTAAAACGCCTATCTTTAGGTCTTTGGACGTTTTGATGAATAAATCTCAAGAATGTGTTCTTTTGGTGATTTATTGTACAAATAGAAAGTATTTAATAATAATGCATTTTGGTGTATTCGGTTTTATAAACCATTTAAAAAATGCATGTTATTGTGTTACGAGACAATTTAGAAATATAAGAATATGATTTCATTTAGAAAATGGTTTGTCTCAACCAATGATGAGTTTTTGAGTTAATCATGCCTTTGGAGCATGTATATGCATAAATGCCGGTTAAATGTGTCTTATTTCTTTTGATGACTTTTATAGTCAACGGAGTTGTTGAACTTTTGGCTCAATTTTGACTCTGGTGAATCCTGTGGATATTTATTCGGTTTATTTTGCTCTACGTTGAGCTTGTGGAGTTTATATGTGATTATGGCATATTTATTGGGAATTATATGTTTTGAGCGTGTTGGTCATTCAGTTGGAGTCATGTAATTTAGACATGTAATGCAATAGATCCATAAGCATATAAATCGTTTTTATGGATTATGTAAGGATGAGCTCCCCTAATTTAACTTGAAAATAGATTGTGACTTATCATGTAATTTTCAAGTGAACGAGCTTAACTTGGATTTGGGAGATCTCAAGGTAAAAACCTGGAAAGGGTGAACTTGGTGACTCCACAAGCGAAAGACTTGGATAGAGTTGAGCTTGTTATCTCATTTGACTTAAAACCCACATAAGGTTGATGAAATGGTTACTTAGCTATAAGTGATGCTCATATAACATTGGTTTGTGGATTACTTTTGTGTTCCGTCACAAGAAATAGTAAATCGGGTCTCTCCCGTCATCTTATGATGTTTTACACCCTTCCAAGGTAAAGATGATTTAATCATACAAAAGGACTTGATTAAAGCAATGTTTTTCGTTTTAATGTTTTATAGCTTTATTCTTGGTCGTGGGAGTATTGGGTTTTGGTTGTGTATAAGTGGGTGTTTTGATTAATGGCTTTCATCAAGAAAATTGTGGGTTTCGAAAAGATGTCCTTTTTATTTGTAATAAATTTCATTTGCGAAATTATGATTTAGATCAACAGTCTTTTAATTTTACCGTCTTATGATAATGATGAAAATTGTTTGAACTCATTAGGCGTTAAGTCTAACCTTTTTTTATTTGTCGGCATGTGCAACAGGTTTTTGTTGGGGTTTGGTTCTAGTGACACTGCGAAGCATGGAGTGCTAGTTAGATGCTCGAGAAAGATCTAGCTAATCGATGACGTATTCCATATTTGGAGATAACGACTGTTATTAGGTTTTAGTAACACCCGACATGACCTAGTCTTGATGTAAGGTTTGGTTTGTCTATTATTGATGTTAAATGTAGATTCGTTATTCGAGATAATTTAAGTATTAATTTATAGAAAAGGATTCACCCAATCTATGATGTATTATCAAAAAATTTAAATTAGTCGCTCTTTCCAGATTTGATGATGTTACAAGTTGGTATGAGATCATAAGTTTGAGAGATTTAGGCACTGGTTTAGGATTGATAATGAAAAAGGACTTATGAGTAGAGAAAACAACATATTCAAGGTTAAGAGAATTTCTTTAATATACCAAAATATCAACCCGACTAACTCGACCAACTCGTATGGTTTGGGTTGGGCTGAGATTTTTCAAACCATAAACATTGAACTGCATTATTTAATGCCTTCAACCTGATAACCCAACCCATGAGCACGCCTACCAAAGATGCCTTTAGGGGTTAGGACCTCACTTGATCCTTAACAACTAGTTCCAAATTTTCCTTAATAAATGTATATTGTTTTTGGAAAAAGGTTTAGATTTATCATCCGTTAAGTTTTTGGATAATTATTTGGAGCAAATAAATTTATGGAAAGTTTAAAAATTTCCTACGGATTTGCCAATTTTGAAAGATTAGGTCCTGGACATTTTTTCAACAAATAAATATGTGGATTTTCTAAAACTGATCAAGGGAGAAGTCTGAAAAATCCAACAGACTTCAGTAAGTTTAAGGATTTGTTTGTTTAGATAACCTCAATTCTCTATGGTGTCGGTGAGGAGGTGAAACCGCTAGCCCCACATAAATGTCAAAAATGTCCATGCACTCCTACAAGTTAAGAGCTTTTAACAATTTTATACAGATGCTTTATAAGGTCGATAATGTAGAAATCAGAACATTTGACTCCTTTTACAGCTTCGTTCCATATTTGGTTGTGTCATATATGTGTGATGCTTTTTTCAACCCAAAATTCTCAACAAAAATATCTGCAACAAATAAATTCACATATCCTCTTCACTTTGGTAAGGTTTAAACCCCTGACCTCCTAGAAGGCCAAGGACTACGATACCGCTAAGACAACACCGTTGGTTATATTAGTGAGTTGTTCTTCATGCATATACCTTTAAAATTTTAAAAATCAACTAAATGTTTTATATTTTGGTGATCTAACACCAAATATATCAGTTTCTTTTAGAAAAAAATTAAATCGAAGTCGAAACATGTAGATTTGACTGAGTTGTGTAGTTTCAAACCTACAACCCTAATTATTACAAAGAGTAAAAAAATTAATTCAAAATGTGGTTTGATTGCTTCAATAAAAGAAGTTGAAAAAACCACATATGATACAATGTTGCGTTTTATAGTTTATTTGTACATTTGTGATCATTTATAGAATAATACAAGATCATTTATTTCAACTTTTTTTTACTTGGTATTTTGACGTAACATGAATCAATATACAATTTATTTCAAATGAATGAAACACAACCATCTCTCTAATTTCTACATTAGCAAATGAATAATCTCTCTTTCTATATATATATATATATATATATATGTATGTATGTATATATAAAAGAGAAAAAACATGGTTTTTGTAAAGAATCGTTAAGAAATGTTGCAAATGTTTTGTACATTTTCCTCTTATGTCCTCCATGGACTGCAAAGAAAAGGTGATCCTCTTTCGAACCTTTCGGTATGGCTACCTAAGGAAGATAAAGATGAAGACGATGATGATCTTGAATCACGACAAACCCATCCAGTGAACTCAGCATCAGAATCCCCATCTGAGTAACTAACCTTGGTACCAATTTCATGCTTGGTAAATCTCGCATGACGCCCTTTTTGATCATGTCTTTGAAACCTGAAATTCTTTCTTAACTTCTTCCAAGACCAAGACCTCCAAGTCAACAAATCTTTAGAGCCACCATCAACAACCTTAAGGCGAGGAAGGGATAAGCTTTGCACCGCTGGTGGCGGTGTTGGTGGTGGAATAACCTCAGCTCGTGGCGGATTTTTGGGTGTTCCTGGTTGCATTTCCCACTTAAAGGGTACACCTTCATTGGTGGTGTTTTGATAATAAGTACGTGATGATAGACTGGCTGACGAATTTCTTGAGAGAATCTTAGAACAATCTTGTCCTTTAAGAACATAAAACGGGGGTTGGTTCTTTCTGAAATCTTGATTTTCCATTTTTGGCAAGAAGTTTAAGGAATTGATGGAGGGTTTTGAAGTGTTCAATGAGAAATTTGTTATGAGGATGGAAAGATTCATGTTGGGATACTTATAACATCATAAGAGTGGCAATCAAGTTATGGTATCAAAAGAAACTCTATTAGATGGAAGTTACATTATCATAGCAAAAAACTTAGATGATACACTTGCATATTTTTTTGATATTACATAACATAAAAGAAATCAAGGTGTATATGTATATATAAAAAGCATATGGTTTTATGTTGAAGAAACAAAAATAACAAAACAACTTATTTATATATTGTATCTAACACTTCCTATCAGTTTTTTGTCGAGCAGGTGACCTTTAAGGTGGATCAAAAGCCTGCAAAATCCTTCGATATGATTTTAGCCGAATTCCACCGTTTTTGAGGGTTTGTTATAGTTTTTTGATTGATTTCGATACTTTTCAGTTTTTTGGTTGATATCCCGAAGCACCCTCAAAGACTAGGTTGTGCACAATTCATACTTATAAAAATATTCTACTTGTAAAAATCAGTTGAACAGATACACAGGATCTTGCTGGAACCTTCACAAATCCATCCCTTAGGCGATGACGATACCCTCAAGGCATGGAGGGAGGGGGTACCCCCTTTTCTTACAACATACTATTGGATTTTCTTTTGTTTTGGTCATGGTTGACTTTGAAAAGGGGTTATAGTTATAAACCCCTTGTTTAGGGTTGTTGACTTTTGAAGCAAAACATCAAAAAGGTTGACCAACTTTGAGTTAACATTCATCATCACAAGTAACATGTGTTTTAAGAAATGTATCCCATTCAATGCATGTATTTGCCGACTTCGATTACAACTTTGCTTCGATAACAAGCAAACGGATAAAGCAACGTTCTTTTTTATGTCGTTTTCAAGTCTTCGAGAAAAAAGACTTTTTACTGGTGACAAAAGCAACATTAAGGAAGTTGAATGTATAAGATTTGGAGGGAAGTTTGTAACGAAAAAGTAGAGTTTCTTTTTGCTTGTGCTACAATCGGGTTTGATATTTTAGGTATATTTGGCTTTTTTGTTTGAAAAAAACATCAACGAGATTAAACCGGAGACGAAACCAAGTAAGTGCTTATCCAGTTAAGCCTGGTTTTAATTAGGATTTGAGATATTACATTCCTGCATAACCAATTGAAGGATCTTCTGAATTACCTCTCTACTTTATCAACTCAAGACAGAATCCATATTTAAAACATATCTACTACTAGCTGCATGAATATGATGATAAAAATGTCAAAGAGGCTGATGACATGAATAAAGAAAGGTACGATTGCTATGCTAGTGAAATAAGTGAAACCGACCTCGAAGTTTTCACAACGCGTTCATGGTAGGCATCAAGCGAATCATACACCCTGAATGCCAACGGTCACAAACAATCAAATCACCGCAAAGATAACAAGGGGATCACAAAACAAGTAATATCCCAGCTGGAAGTGGGGTCTGGGGACAGTAATATGTATGCAAACTTGATATCTAACCCAAATAGTAGAACGGTTGTTTCAGTGAAGACCCCAGCTTGTGGAAAAGAGTTAATTTGGACCACCAAGGGGAGTGTTATATCAATTTCCACAGAGGTCCAAAATAGGAAAAGAAGACTTTTTTTGACAATTTTTTTTATGAATTATCTATAGTTTAAACAAAAACGCATACCTGACTGCTGTAAGTTCGGACCTCTATTTAATACATAATAAATTTGATGTTCGATTTAAAGTACAAATATGCTCCTAAACGCATATTCATTGTACAAAACAGACATGTTTTAGTGGTGTTGCCCTTGTCAAATCAAAATCTTCTCAGGTTATCTATCAAAAATTGGCAAATTAAAGCATCATATAGGATTCTATATACTTCAATGCAGATTTGATACATATCGATTTGTATTAGAGTTTATTAAGGCTTTTTGTTGGCATTCACTGAAGTCTTAACCAAGGGGGTAATGGGACAACTCTATGTTCCTTGAGTAATATACCATATTGGTCCACCCATTACTCGAATGCTTGCTCATGGTTATGCATTAATTACTTCGAAAAAGTTGAGAAACAAAAACAAATCTATGGTTAAATTCAAACCATCGATAAGCTAGAAGTTGGTTGAAAAAAACTAGTTGTTGGCTGATAAGTTAGCTGTTAGCCTATAAACAAGTCATGTTCGGTAAAAACTAGTTGACAAGTTGGATGACAATGTAAAGTATCCTAAAAAGACATGTTGAAAAATTAAATGGAAAAATATAAGGGGCATAATTGGAAAGAAAAAGAAAGAAGTAAAAAAAGGCCCCGAAGCTTATTTAAAAGCTACTTCTTTTCTTGATTAACCTAGATATCCAACCCGCTATACGAGCCGACTAATCTCAGGACGACCACCTGCTTTGCAGATAGCCCGGAGTCAACGCATTTGAACCTCCGTGGCCACAAGGGGATTTTTATTCCTCCTTGGATTTGAACATGGGACCTCCTGGTACTTTTGACCTTTGGAGCCAAGCTCAAACCAATCAGGCACCACCCTTGTAGTTTATTTAAAAGCTACTTGAAGTAGTAGTAATGGCTAACCAAGTGGAGCTTTTTCAACAAACTCAAAAAATAAGCTAGCTTATGGTTGTCAAACATGGTCCAAGTAGGGACCAAAATTCAACCTATTATTGGTAGAATAAGATCTTTTTTATCATGACTAACAAACTCAACTTCTCCTCTTTCACTCGTTTTTACGTTCAAGAATGAAATTATCACCATGAAAATACATTGGGAAATAGTGTTTACCTCAGCAGCTGATGATATGATAGAGTCCCTTTCAGAATTTAAATGGCCACTCAACCTCCTGCAAAAAGACTCTAATTTTTTAAAATATTCTCAGTGAAGTAATGGAAAAAATATAAACAAATACCTTGGTTTCTCAGACTTGGCAAGGTGCTTAGACATGATAGAAGCCTGCAAATCACAATCCCAAAAGTATGTTTCACTAAAGAAAGAAGATCTGAGACCTAAAGAAACTAACCACCTTGCACAGAAACTTCAAAGGGAAAAATAAAGCAAAACTTTTCAAAAATAACATCAGGCTTCAAAGGTGGAATTGATGCTTGCAATAGTATATCACAACGCTCAATTCTACATACCCGACTTACTGTGTTGCATAACTGAACAGGAAGTGATCAGAAACTGACAAGCCTTGAAAACAACTCTTTGTTTATTGTGCTTAAAAAATACGAAAAGAACACAACCTAAAAGCTAACATACATAGGCTCATATTACAGCTACCTGATTTTCCTAGAAAGAGAGCATTATTTTTTGTGAAAACACAAACCTTAGCATATGATTTGTGCAAGAGCACTTATAATTTGTTTGCAATTCTATTAGGGTGCGTTTGGTACGCAGACAAGACAGGATAGGACAAGACAGAACAGGACAGGACAGAACAGGACAGTTATTCAGTGTTTAGTAAGACATGACAGGACTGGACAAAACTGGTTAAAATGACCAATTTAGCCCCAGTGAGCTGTTTAGTGTTTTTTTTAACTAAATAATCAATATAAATGTTAACAAATACGGTGTGCAAAGTATAACTTACATCAAACCACTACTACTTGCAAAAATATATTTGCAAAAATACATGATTTCATAATCAACTAATGATATATGAAAAAGGTAAATATAATATAAGTATCAAGAATCCATTATCGAAGCAAATCTATATGCATTCCATACGAAGAAGAAAAAACTACTACCAACAAGCGCACAATCAATTAAAATGGATTAAATATCAAATAATAAATAAAATATAAGCATCAAGAAAACAATTTGGCTAGTGATCCCATATAGTATCATCACATTCACAAAACTTGGATTCCAGAAAACAGAATTCACCTATCACCTGTACAATCACTCCTGTAAGATCAAAATCGAATATGTACTACTCTGATAAAAGGAAAACATACAAAACTCATCGAAAACAACAAATTGCATGCGTGAACCTTACGCAATACGTTTGACGGTGATAAAATAAAGAAAACAATTTATGTAATTTAATAAATTATAATAGAATAATTTTTTTTATAACAAAATATATCATTTGAAGTTTTCGTCAAAACAATTAAAATGACACCAAATAAAAAGTTTATGTGGTTTTATATTTTTATTTTTATCTCTTTTCTACATTATTTTTTATTATTAATATATAATAAATTACATAAATTAATAAAAATATAGAAACCGTATAAAAATAATATTCTGAGGACAGTAAAATGAAAGTTTAAGAAGAATAAAATACAATAAATAAAATTTAAAGAATGAATAAAATGTAAAAAAGAGACCTATTTGATGTTTTAGAAGAAAATTAAGTTTTATTTTGAGGTTATATTGGTAAAATATAAGTCTGTTCTACCTTGTTCCACCCTGTTCCATGGGGTAGGGGTGGAACAAGCCTGATCCACTTTGTTTCACTCTGTTATTGTTTGTTCCACATAAAATTCATGCCAAACATGGGACAGGGATCCTTGTCTTGTTTTGTCCTGTATACCAAACGCACCCTTATGGCATATGCTTCTTCATGGTGCCATCATGCCTATATTGCTTGTGACACCATGTTGTAGTTCTCTGACATAGAATCAAAAACTTCGTACAGACGTAATTTTTAGATAACTAGAAATATACACACCCTCAGGTCTTCCCATGTTTGATTTTCTGAGAGTACATCAAGTAGGTTTCAACTTCAAAACAAATACTCCCTCCATCCCATAATAATTGTAACAATTGACTATGCAATATTAATAGAAGTTGTTGACCACACAAATGCCTATTTTATCCTTGCACATTCACATTGAAACTGTTTGGCAAACTAGCTGATAAGCTGGCTGTTGGCAAAAAAGTTAGCTTATGAACTATGATAAGCTAGATGGCAATGTAAAATGACCTAAAAGAAAAATATAAATAGGCATAATTGAAAAAGGAAGTGAAAAGAAACCCCAATAAGCTATCTAAAGTAGCTTATCAAAAAGCTAGCTTACGCTTACCAAATGGAGCTTTTTTAATATAATACAAAATAAGCTAGCTTATGGTTCCCAAACATGGCCTAAAGTGATTTAACTTCTTTTTTTAATTTCAAAAAATGCAAAACCCGGGAATCATTGTAGAAAATCCACGAAAGGGATATGAAGCAACACTATTGTAGCAGAGTGAGTATGAAACGTTTACTTTGAAGAAAAACTTACAACAATTTTGAACTTTATAAACTCCGAAATAGAAGTTGGTGTTAAAGACTTGCAAGTTCATATAAATTTGAATGTTGAAGTATAATAATCCTCAACTCTTATAAAGTCAAGTGGAAATTGAATAACATGCCATCAAATGCAGGAGATATAAAGATCAAGTAAAATGGAGGTTGCAACTAAACAGATTATTTTCTAAAAGAGGCATGCATATAGACGAACATGCTCGGTTTCAAACTACATCAAGTTTCAATTGTCATAACATGTAAAATTTAGGAACTGCAGATCTCTCTGAAAAGACTGTATAAAAGCATACAAAAAATAGCAGTCTGGTAAGTTCGGGAGCATGTTGATGAATGCCCACCTAAGATAAAATAAATAGATATAAACTTTATTGTTAATCAGCTGTACTTACCTGCTCTTGAATTATGCTTCTTGCTTCAACAAGTTGAGCTTCTAACTCAAGCTCTCTCTCAGTTGCTTCAGAAGTGACTTCAGCTTCTTTTTGTGCATCTTGTAGCTGACCCATGCGCTCCTTTACAGTGGACAGCAAAAACACTGAAAATCTAAGTAACTCTCCTAAACACAACACATAGCAACAAAAGTGTCATGAAATTACCTTTATTGAAGCCACCTTGTTTCGAAGAAATGCTTCTATTTGATCTCTACCCATATGAAATGGTAGATCAAAGACATCCTGATATAGATAAATTTTCAGTTTATGCTTCTCATTCAACAGCTTGTATGATAAAGAATTATCAATTTGAAAAATCTTTAGATGTTGCCTCATACCGTCCTCCCACCCAATGGGGACTGTGATGGGTCGGCATCCATCCTTTCATTAACAGGGGAAGGGTTTTTGGACGAACCATTTGAAGCATTCAAAAATTCACGCATATCCACCTATAACCATGATATATGTAGGAAATGGAGTAAGATACAAAATGTTTATCATAATGTTACAAATGTGAATGTCATAGAAGAAATCTGTTGGAGATGCTTTTTGATAATGAAGTAACATTCTAATTCAACATATGGTCCATTGTCTTTCATTATCAGTTTTACATCGTTCATAAAAGAATGCTACATCAGTATCAATGGTTGGTTAGCAAGACAATAACATTCAAGTTAATAGTGCTTTCACATTTCTGTCACTATGTCAATAACGGTCAAGTTAATACTGCTTTCACATTTCTGTCAATAACAGTCAAGTCCGAAAATAGCAACAATTAATATTTTTACCCTGAATGGTTGCCACATCCTTCACTATGTCACACAGTATTGTTGCTTTGAAATTGGCTGTCACTGCTTGATACACAAGGGATCAGGTGTTCTTTTTGCTGCCTCTAACTGACACTTGACCAGCATCTTGAACAAAGTTCGAAGTAGGTAGAACCATATCCGAATGTGATGTTGGTGGTTCTTGGTCATTTTTGCCATGAAATGCTCTAAAAATGTTTTTGGCTGATTGCTACTTTAAAATATTACATTTTCGGTGTTTGAAATTGTTGGTTCTTTAGTCAGCTGTTCATAAGTGTAGTCTCTTTGAAGGAAATTGACCATCACTCAAGTCACCAAAAAGTGGTAAGCGACCACAGCCCAGCTTGTTTATGATGATTTTTTGTGTGGATATTGCCTGTGCACTTCAATGGTCCTTAATCTTTTAGTACTATTGAAGATTGTAATTACTTTGTTACTTATGTTGACGATTATTCTAGAGTAACTTGGATTTATTTACTTCATTCACGTTTTAAGATTCTCTCATTTTGTTAAATTTTCTAATTTATGTTTAAAATCAGTTTGGTATTCAAATCAAACCCTTACTAAGACTGTCTTTGTGGTACTAGCTTATCTAGTATGGAGTAATCTATGAGGAGGCCCTAAAGCAGAGCAGGCCTAAAAATTAGTTGACGTTCCTACCAGCAGAGATACCGTTGGTTATAAATGGATGTGCATTATCAAACTAAAGCTAGATGAGCTACTTGCTCATCTGAATTCTGAAGGACCAGTTAGTAACAAAAAGCTACTCTCAAAAGTATGGAAAGGATTGTCAATGGAATTTTTGATCTAATTACCATGACATCCATGAGTCTCGTTACAGTTCAATGTCATGGGCCACTTGTCTCAAAAGAGATTTTCCTGCAACAGCTTTTTGCAGATGCACATTTGGTACCTATTAGACTGCCAAAAAGCATTCACCAAGGAAAGCCACTTGAAGACTATAGATATAGTAAGAACTTAAAGAGTTCTCAAATGTTTCTAGCCTACATTTGCTTCTTGTATTGTTGTTCAAACTTCTAGGATTGCCTATGATAAATTTAGAAAGTTAGGTGACTCTTGTATCTCGAGTGTTCTCGTATCACCAGGATCTTCCAAGGCTCCGTACAAATAGGTGTGTCCTCTCATTTGCAAGGCATCCAAGAAAGCTTCCAAGTAATAACCAGAACTCTTATGATACACAAACACTTATCAATTGGAAAATTGGGTGTTTTCTTTGAAATTGGTTAATGTTCCAGCAGTTCGAGTAGTTGGTGGTCTCCTGGGCATGAACCACTAACCAGGTTAAAAAAACGATTCCCTACCCACATGCTCCCCTGTGCTCATTTATATTTAATAGCCAAAAGACTCCCAACACAATATCTCCCGCCAAAACTACTTCCTGCACCCTGTACATGTCACGCTACTAGGGGGTGTATCAATACCCACCACACCAGTTTCACCTTGTCATCAAGCTTAAAATCCGGAAATTGTCTGTCCAGGGCCTCATACTCCTCTCATGAAGCTTCAAACGCATCCAAGTCCTTAAACTTCACTAGCCCCTCCAGTTCACTAGCATTCCATCCCTGAACGATGGATATCTAACACAGCTTCTGGGACCATTTGTAACTCCATATCAAGTATCAACAGTCAGTTCGGGTGGCAAAACTGGGGACGAAGTGCCGATACCTACTTCCCGACGCAGATATGAGACGTGAAATAGAGAATGAACACTTGTTTGAGGCAGGTAAATCCAATTTATAAACAACTGCTCCAATCTTTTCTATAGCTCCTATGCAAGGAATTTGAACTTGTACCAAAGATCCTCTTGCCAGATATATTTCCTATCCCAACCTTTCTGACAATCATAGAGCACTAACTACAAACATTTCAAAGCTTGTTGTGCTTAGAAATATCCAAGAAGCATTAGGTGATCTGAATTGGGGGTTGACTATGTTTGAAGAAATGAATGCCTTGAAGAAGAATGGTGCAGGGGAGGTTAGGGATTTACCAAAGGGAAAAGAGGTTGTAGGATGTAAATGGGTGTCTACTATTGAGAGCAAGACAGATGGGACTATGGAGAGATACAAAGTCCGCCATGTTGCAAAAGGTTATACTCAAACCCATGGGATAGATCATCAAAAAAACTTGGTGCCAATAGCTACAATAAACTCAATTAAGGTATTGTTATCCCTCACCTTAAACTCCAATTGGATGTTAAAAATGGTTTTCTTAATGGGAGACCTTGAGAAAGAAGTACACATGAGTTCACCACCATGTTTGGAAGAAAGATGTGGAACAGGGAAAGTGTGCAAATTGAAGAAATCTTTGTATGGACTCAAACAGTCGAGAGCTTAGTTTGAACATTTTGGCAATGTGATAAAACGTTATGGATATGTTCAATAGTCAAGTCAGCCATACAATGTTTTACCGGCATTCTAATGACACGAAAATAGCTATATTGATGAGAGAGAAAAATTGAAGGAACTCACCAAGAAATACAAGATTAACGATTTTGGATCATTGAAGTATTTTCTTGGGATAGAATTTGCTCGTTTGAGGGAAGGCATTTTTGAAAATCAGAGGAAGTACATGCTTGACTTACTGAACGAGACAGGTGTGCTAGGATGTAAACCTGTTGAAACTCCCATAGAACCTAAAGCAAAACTGCACCATGCACAAGCAAAGAATGTGAAGGACAGAAAGCACTATCAGACACTCGTTCAGAAATTGATTTATTTATTCCATACACGCCCAGATGTATCCTTCGATGTAAGTGTGGTTAGTCGCTTTATGCACGCCCCAGGACCAGAACACCTTGAATTTGTCAATAGAACTCTAAGGTATCTGACAAAGGACTTTACAAACCCAGGACAGTTGCAAATTGAGGCTTACAGAGACACAAATTGGGTGGAAGCTCAGTAGATGGAAGATCCATTTCCGGATATTGTTCTTGTACGTGGCAACTTGGTTACATGGAGAAGCAAAAAAACAGAATGTGGTTGCTAGGAGCGCCGCTGACACAGAATTTAGAGCTAATTGCACATGGTATTTGAGAGAACATGTGGATTAGGAGGCTGTTGGAGGAATTAAGAGCAACTAATTGAACTTTTATGAAGTTATTTGTGATAAAAAGGCAGCAATCTCAATGGCGCACAATCTGGCCGTACATGACCGCACCAAACAAGCGGAGGTGATAGACATTTCATCAAAGAGAAAATTGACAACAGACAGCGTCGTATGAAACACGATCCTAGTGGAGAGCAAGGGGCTGGCATATTTACTAACAGACACCACACAAAGCAGTTCCATTTTTTTCTGGTTATCAAGTTGGGTATGAAAGATATGGGAGTGTTGGAAAATTAGCAAAATATATGTGTTGTATATTTAGTTGTAGTTGTAGTTGTAGTTGTACATTTAATTGTAGTTGCATCTTTGGTCATTACTTTATTTGGTACACATCTATGTATCTTAGAATTGTATAGCCTAGGATATATTGTCTCTATAAATTAGTGATTTATTGTACTAATTTAGTTGATATGCGAACATAAATTTATTTTGTGCAAACCTATTTTTCAAGTATAAACATCTTTCAATTATGTTTCTTATGATACATGTACCTATTACCATAAGGTTTCTAATTCCTCTCTCCCTCCCTCTTTCTCTCTTTCACTGCTTCTTTTGTCTAGATTAGACTCGCATGAGAATTCGATTTTTGTTCATGATGCTAAGTAATACCAAGCTAAGCTCATCCTTTGTTTGAAATCTCATGAACCGAAAAGCAAAAGATATTTCTAAGCTAAGCCGACGTGTTTAGAACACTATACAAATACCAAGTTGATTCAATAAATCAACAAATCTCACCAAAAGCACCATAACCATTGTATAATATTAACACACCTGCATTGATCGTAACAATGCCCTCAAATCAGCATTCTCTGCAACCAATTCTTGATTTTTTGCCTCATAAGCATCCACCTAAAATAGTATATAGACATATGATTATATATAATTTGAAGTTAAAAAGAAAGATTCATATAACATACAATCTTTTTATAGAAATCATTGTCAGCCTTCTTCCCATTCCATGTCCCACGTTGTCGCCCTTCTTTCTGTGGTGCAAGGAAACTTATGGTTAGAAGTGTCAAAATTTGAATACATAAGTGCGCAAATATATTTGAACTTTGACCAATTACCTGAAGTAAATTCATTATCTCCATGCCTGATCTAGATTCCTTCTTTTTCTCCACCATAACTTGATTTAGTCGCTCCTGCAAGAAAATAAATTGCGCTTATATTTGTTACATCTTGTGTTGCTTGACATATATTAACATATCCTACACAACAATTTGGGAAATATAAGATGAAATCAGAAGAATTCTCATGCTTAAAGAGATAAGCATACCTGCAACTTAATGTACTCTTTTTCTTTTTTCTTCATCTCGTGTATCTGTTGAGTTCTGACTTGCTTTTGCAAGATGACATGTTGAAGATGGTGACTCATCCACAAAAGCAGGTTACCAGAAACAAAATAAGATGAGGAAATCAAAAAGGGGATGTATAAAACCATACCTGATTTCCTATAACCATCCTTTGAAATTCATCTCTTTCCTGCTGCAGCTTCTCAATTTGGGCCTTGAGACCTGCTTTCGCTTTAGCTTCCTATCATAAAAAAACAATAAGCAAACAACTAACGAATACAAACCAATTTATAATATATATATACACACACACACGAGCATGCACACACGTATTACCGTCCGGGTAATAGTTGCGATTTCTCTATCTTTGGCAGACAACTGTGACTCCAATCTCTCTACTTTGGCCTCTAGTCTGGATATGTCCGATGAAAGTCTGCAAGAAAACCCAAAACTTGTCACCAAGGATTAAAACTTTTAAAACCAGAAACATCGTTGAACACAATGCCCTAAGAAGCTACACCTAATATTAGTCTTGCATTGTAGCATTTGTTGCTTTCTGCTTCCAATTCAGCAAAATTAGTTTTATCACTTGCTTTCCAGGAATTCATTATATCTACGCACAGCTTTGGGCGTTTTGCACCTACTACCTTTATGACTTTGTCATGGTTACATATAGAGTTACCAATGCATATAGTTCTCAGTCATCATTTCAAGTCCAAACAAATTCCAAATGCAACCAAGTCGAGGGATGGTTCAAGTGGACAACATTCAATTTTCATACATTCATTAAATGTGCAACATTAGATGCACATGCACATAAGTCAAGCTACCCCTACCAATATGTCAATATCTATCAGCACTTCGATTAATACATTAATCATGAAATGGCTTGTGGTTAATAAAGCTTTGCAGGAAACCTAAGGTAGTTCAAGAGATTTCACAAGCCCCATTCACCCATATAACAATCCTCCATTGCAGAATAAAAGATACATTGTGCTGTCTGCTCTTGAGAGATATGGGTACATATGTGGTGTTAGGAATCGATTATATGTAAGAGCAGTAAACCTTTATATATGTAGCAAAATCTCTCTCTCTCTCTCTCTTTCTCTATAAGGGCTCTGTTGAAGAGTAATCATGTGGGGTTCCACATATGTCACATGGTATAAGACCAAGGGCTACCACTCTAAAAGGGACTCAACCCTTTGGGGCTCCTGTACCAGTTTAGCCTCCTTTGAAGGGAGCATGTTGGAGTCCCAACTTGGACCTTTTCTCTTCGATATATGACGGAACCTTCCTTCTCTCCTTAAGGTATCTTTTAAACAGAGAATCATAGGTTTCATGTATTCTAACATGGTATCAAAGTCGAGGTCTAGCACCGCCTAGAGACTTGAGACACTCTTTTGCCTCCATTCTTGGGCACTGTCTAGCCTCCGTTTGAGGAGACGTGTTGGAGTCCCACATCGGCTAGACATGGACCATTAAACCTCTATATATGTTGGAACCTCTCCATCTGTAAGGGACCTACTGGAGAGTGTTTCAAAAGAGTTCCACTTATTCTCACATGGTATCAGAACAGGGATCTACCACATCCAAGATCTTTTGACTTCTTTCTAGGGGCACCGTCTAGCCTCCATTTGAGGGTGGTGTTGGACCACATTAGCTAGACATGGACCATCAAACATGTATGTATGTATATATGTGGGAACTTCCCCTTTCTCTATGAGGGCTCTTTTAGAGAGAGATTCAAAGGTTCCATGTATCTTTACAATATAAAACCACGAAGTTCAATCGTCTGATTGATGTTTTAAGAACCAATATGGTGATGAATAATGGCTCTTACACTTAGCAAATAAAAAATGATAGTCGTAACTCATACGATGACTATGATCTAAATTCGGAATAAATGTGAATCAACCTTAAACTTTAGTACTTCTACAGATCGACATCCCAAAAATGAAACTTATCACCAATTGTGCAAGGAGATACTTGACCAACCAAATGTACCATGTAAAATCGAAATACTTCGAACAAGAAGAAGCTCACCTTTGCCTCTGATCATTAGTAGATTCCCGGAATTCAATGTCACGTTGCCTCTGTTGCAACAGTGAGTACATACAATTGCAAGTCCTTGCAATTGAAACCTAAACAAAATGATGAATAAATACATACAAAAAATGGAACTCAGACAACAAATCACATATAAAGCCAAAAAATCCAAACCGGATCAGTTGCAAACAGATCAAGCGAAGCTGGAAATCCAAATGTGACTAGAGTCTGGTTCAAGTACTTCGTACAATGATCCAAATTTTCAACATCGGCAAATGTGTACTCGCTGCAAAATTGTAGGGTATATCTTACAAGAACTCACAGCTGAATTGAAACCCTAACTCAAGATAAAACTAAAAATAAAAATCATAAAAATGATAAAATTATACCTCACTCCGAAGCTGGACTGTGTAAATAACAGATCGAGAAAACGGATTCCGGAAGAATAAACAAAAATAGCATGATTAATGAGAAAAAAAGTGAAGATATAAAATGAATTTTAAAGATGAAAAATGATACTCTGAGATCGATGTTGGTAGTGTCAGTTGATGCCATTGTCGCGACGTGAGGATCTTCAGGACATTCGTTTCGCCGGCGGGAGAGAGTGTGAGAAGCGTTTGAAGGTGGTCAAGTCTTTGAAGACTGTTGGTAGGTCAGGACGGTGGTTGCTTTTGAGGTGATAAAGGTTAAACGGTTTGAAAGTTTGAAAATTGAATCACAAATACGTTTTTCTAAAGCAAACGATTGAGACCCAATGATCGAATAATATTTTGAATTTATATACATTTCTGTTATTATTGAATTAAAATTTCCTACAAATCGATAATTATAAGTTAATATCAATGATAATTTTATTTTATTGAATGAACATGATAAGGATTAAAAATCTTAAATCTTATCTGATAAGAATAATAATAAAGATCAAGAATCTTATTCAGTAAGTGATAGTGTCAATTTTTATCTGGTAAAAACATCTCTAACAGATTCTTTAAAACCATCTTCAAAATGGAAAAAGTATGAAAGAGAGTTTTTTCATCAAATACGAAGAACACCCAAAAATGATCACATAGAAATGTTTTATGTTTTTAGTGCATGTGGTTTATCGAAATTTTCTATTTTCGTTCTGAAATTATGATTTACAATTCATTGTCTTTTTTATCTTTATGATTTGACATTTATTGTTTTTTCGTTCTTATAGTTTACTTTCATTTCTATTTTAGTCGTTCATACTTAAAAATAGTGTTTTGGTTTTAGGGACAACAATAAAAATGAATTGCAAACCATAAGAATGAAAATCGATTTTTTTTATTAACCTGGATATCCAACCCGTTAAGCGAGCCGACTAATCCCAGAACGACCATCTGCTTTGCAGATAGTCCGGAGTCACCGTATTTGAACTTTCGTGGCCACAAGTGATTTTTAGTCTTCTTTGAATTTGATCTTGGGACCTCCTGGTACTTTTAACCTTTGGAGCCAAGCTTAAACCAATCAGGCACCACCCTTGTGGTTAAAACAAAATCGAAATTTAGAAACCACAGGAACGAAATCCCAATTTTTAACAAACCACAAGGACGAAAAACATAATTTACTCTTTAATATATTTCACCAATAAGAAATTTTTAAAATAAATATTTAGAGAGTAAGATAATATTTTAATACATTAATGAAATATTTTAATATTATAATGAATGTTAGATTCTCCAAAATAGGGAATCTGTTGGAGATGAAAGCAAAATAAAATGAAGATTTTGACTTTTGGTTTTCCATTTTGTAGAATTTTTGGGGAATTTGTTGGAGATACTGTAAGCCTTTACCAGATAAAAATGTTTTTATATGATGTTGTTTTAATGGACTAAAATAATATCTGGTAAGTTAAATGAAAATGTTGACTCTTAACAGTAAGTGTTGGATAAACTCCACATTATTCTGTATTTAAGTGTTCATAGTTGGGTTTTTTGGATTATTAACGTTGAATTTTAATAAGTTATATATATACAATAACAGATTAAAAACTTGAGTTGTAAAAGATTTTTGTATATGTATTAATAAGCAGTAACGTTTAATAAGTTGTTTTTAAAAGTTTTTACTAAAAAAATTAATATGATATAGATTTAACTGATTTTACATTTATTGTAAAATTCGGCTTTCTTAAAATAATGGATTACCTTATGATTTAAGGGGTCGTTTACCAAACACTTATCTGGTAAGCACTTAACGATAAAATTCAACACTATCATTTAGTTACTAAGTAAGATTTTAGCCAACAAAAACGGTTTTCTATGCAACAATATAGCCAGTAAGAACTAACCGTGGTAAGAGTCATTATCATCACTTGCCCGGTAAGACACTCGGTCTTTGCCTCATTCTTACCGGGTAAGATTCTTGGTCATTGTCATATTCATCCGGTAAGGTAATATAACTTGGTAAGCGCTTACCCGAGTAAGCATTTGGTAAACGGCCCCTAAATCTGATTGTTTTAACTTTATCTGATCAATTTATATAAACAATCAAAATTGTGTAATACAACTAAAAATCATAATAACAAGTTAAAACATACATCCAAACACCAATTAAATGGTTTCTATTTTATATTTTTTAATTAAAAAACAATGATGATAAATTGTTAGGAGTTATCAATCCAAAACAGAAAGATGCATATAAATTGAAAGAATTTGTAAGATAAACAATGATACAACAATCGATTTCAAATTTGCACTTAAATATGGCGAAATTAATCTAAGTTTGGTGATGGATGTTGTACAAAAAATAGAGAGAAACCAGAGCAGTTTTTCTTACGTTCTGTAAGCAATGATAGGGGAAAAAAGGCATACGAGGAGAAAGAAACAACTGTCGTACGGGTCGGGTCATACCAGATCGAGAGACCTAAAAGACCCAAGACCCATCTTTTGACCTTAAATATGTATGAGTATACTATCAAGGAGAGCCCACCATGAAACACCACACACCAAAGCTCAAGTTTTTAATTAATTCATTTAATGTTCAAGGGGTTGGTGTTTATTAAATGGGTAAAGTTTCCTTGGCTCTTTTATATAAGACAAGGTTTCTCACTATTAAACCAAGTTCGAACACAAATTAAAATGCGTAATCATTTCAATTACATTTTGTCCGTCTTTTATAGGATGTCGTAAATCGTAAGTGAAGAGGAGTTGTTTTTTGTTTTAATTTAAATCCAATTTATTATTTATTTCAATTAATTTAAATGATTGCTTTTTGGTCGGTATTTACATATATGAAATCAATACCAAATGTTGATATTTGTTGGAGAGAGGAAAGTTCCAATATTTTTGGAGGTCCTACTACATTCAAAACTTTTGATTACATTGCATAAATGAGATAACAAATAATATATGTTAAAAACAAAAATGGTATAAATCTAAAACGATTAACAATCTAAAACTAAACCTAATAATGATTTGAACCTAAAACCAAACTATTAATGGTTTGAACCTAAATAATTTCGGCTATAGTTTTACACAGGTCGATAAAAAGACCATAAACACATGTAAATTTGGACCCCAAAATTTCGGAGGCCCTGTTCAAAATCTCACATTTAACATGCTAAGGAACGGCCCTGGTTGGAGATAGGAGTCGTTTACCAAACACTTGCCCAATAAGAGCTTACTGTAAATTTAACACTATCATTTACTTACCGGATAAGATTTTAGTCCACGAAAACAGTATCGTATGCAACAATTTACCCGGTAAGTGCTTACCGTGGTAAGAATCATCGCCTTCACTTACCGGGTAAGACTCTTGGTCCTTGTCTCGCTCTTACCGGGTAAGATTCTTGGTCCTTACCATATATTCATCTGGTAAGGTGAACGGCCGAGTAAGCGTTTGGTACGGAAGAATACGTGTTTAACAGATCTTCATCAGAGCATCTTCAACGTATACATTGGAGTGTTCGGTTTGTAGAACAAATAGATATTCATTTTATAAAGAGTTGTGACGATAGAAAAATACACTTACTTGACCAGAATGGGGTTCATGCCAATTACGGAAAACATAAATTCGAATCACATCCAACCCTTCCTTTGCATTTTAAATAAACATATCACCACATCTACATCGCAATATAAGAAGGTACTGATGGTATGATAAGATCTTCACATCGTGCCAACGAATTAGTAAGTTGCTACAAAGACTCAACCCTTACGTCCACCCCCACCAACCTCAATTATGACGCATTGATCTGTATTGCAGGAGGATAATATCACCATCGTTGATGAATATAGACAATAACACCAACTTATATGTGAAATTGTCCGTTAATAATGCTTGGAGGCTACACAAACACAAGTCACATATTGATCATCAACATAAAACAATGCACGCTCATTCAACATCAAGACCTACAAAGATGAGCGGAACAAGACTATGGACACAACAAGAATACCATTTGATAGCAAAAGAAGGAAACTTGCATAGTCAAAGTGATGATACTATATCGAGAAAGAATTGACGATTTGTTGCTCCCTATTATATTGTAATTGCACACACCATGGGTTTATCCAGGGAATGAAAGATTCATGCATTTATGAGATTTGGGGCATTTGGGGGATTTGTGCGGAATTAAATTTCAGCCATGTTACCAATCAAACAAACTTAGGCCATATTATAAAGCATTTGACAAAAACTCTTAAAACTAATTTTTATGCATGAAGTACTGTTTATTGATGCATATTACTTATAATTCAAGATTACAAGTAAATTGTGCATAAGTACAACTTATTAAAGCTTCATGTTTGAATTCATGTAACTTACTGCAGATAAACATAATCAAATAGGATAAGCATCTCATTTTAAATATAAAAAATCTAAAATATAATTAGGATAATCTTTGAGTTTTAATAGAATACTTAATTATCATCTTAAAGAAATTATTGTTTTTTAAACCGAAAATAAATTAGTTCGTTATTAAACTTTAATTAAATTATAATAAAAAATTAAATTAAATAAATTACACAAAAACGAGAACTTTTAAATAGTTAACTTGATAATAATATTGATTATTTTTTTTTAATTTTATAATATCTTCATATTTATATTTCATTTAAAAATAAAAACATTTTCTTTTTTCTCAAAACCCCATAAACTTGTATCTCGCTGCATTGCACGGACACCTTTCTAGTTATATCTAATGGTGATTTAAAATCATAAATTAATAAAAGAAAAAAATCTATTAATTTATAATTTTAAATAACCATTAGACATAATATGAATCAATCTATATATATATATATATATATATATATTGATGACTTGGTTTTTTTCCCTAAAAGCTAGAAAACTCATTTATTTTTTTTCATCATTCAACCTCCTTTTAATCTTTTTTCCTAACTTTTATGATTTTAAATAACCATTAGACATAATATGAATCTATATATATATATATATATATATATATATATATCAAAGGAGAAACCACTGAGTAGGACGTGGTTTCTTTTAAAAGCTAGAAACTCAATTATCTTTTTTCTTTGTCATCCTCCTTTAACCATTTTTTGTTCTAATTTTCCACTTTAATTTTCCATCAACATTGATTATTAATTTATGTTTGCATTTAACGCCGTTCCTTTCGTTTTCCCTAACTCCTCACCATCTCCCAATCGCTTCGTTTTTCTTGAGCTTATGGTTCTCTCCATATATCAAATCGAATTCTATATCAATATGGAATAATTAACAACCTTCATGTTTTATCAAGTTTATATGTGTTATGTCGTTTCACTTTTGTAGAATTTTCCCCCAACCTATTTGTACCGTTGTTCATCCTACATAGATTTTCTAGGTAACATCAACATGAATTTGTAAAACCCTTTTCGTTTCCATTTCTTTTATGTTTAAATTCTTTACGCTTTTCATCTTAAATCGAATGCTCCATCAAAATGGAATCAACAACTTTCATGTTTTATCGAGTTTGTATTTGTTTTGTTGTTTCTCTTCTGTAAAATTTATTTCTGCCACATCAGTACCGTTGTTCATCCTACATAAAATTTTCAGGTAACATCGTCATGAATGTGTCAAACCTTTTACTTTTCATTTGTTTTTATGTTTAAATTGCTTTTCATCCTTCCTCCACTAAATCATTTATAAAGCTACAATCAAATTGCTTTTAATATGTAAAAACTTTTCCATCTCTATATATAAAATTAAAATAAAGATGATGATTAATCGCATTAATTTAAAACCTTTCAGTTTACAAGTAAAAAAAAAAACTCATTGCAATCAATATACATAAATAAAATACTTATAATAATTTCATATAATATAACTTATCACTCATTATTATTTTTATAATACTGCTATTTTTATATATAAATGAATAATCATTGGCATTAATTATTATTTACACATCACATATTATATATTTTAATATGATTAAGGGGGTGTTTGGTTAGAGGTATTAAACAGTAATTAATGAGAATGAAAATAAAAAAGTTGTTTGGTTTTTAATAATATAATGAGTCCATTCTCTTACAAGTCTAAATTTCAATTTTAGGTTAAACTGTGGGGAATGAAAATTCATCACATTTTCATTCTCACACCTGAACCAAACACCCCATAAATAACCATTACAAATTATATATTTACATAGAACTTCTATTTTTGTATATAATTAAATAATCATTGACATTAATTATTATTTACACAACA